GAAGAATGTAACAAAGCGGAATGAGAGAGCTGAAGTGCCAGCGCGCAAGCTGCACACATACGCAAGTAGCTTCTCTTTGCCATTATAATTCGTTAATACTTGTATTTCATGAAATAGTGAAAGATGAAAAGAAAAAGAAAAGTTGTGAATTTATTGATAATGTGTTAACTTTTAACAATGTTAAGTACTGTCAGTTATATACCGTCTCAAAAGCTTATTTTGGTACTTTAAAGTTAAATGTTTTACTGATAACCGGATCATACAACGTATTTTTTAGTGAGAAATCTATTTCTGAAAAATAAAACTACTTTTATATTAAACTCAGGGTTGGCAAGTAACGTCGTTACCGTTACAAGTTATTTTTTTCAATAACGATTGGATAACGATGTTAAATTTTTTTCTGAGTAACGTTCATGGTAACGCAGTTACATTTTTGGAGTAATGGTAACGATTTCACTAGTTACTTTTATTGTTACTTTATTTCTGTTTACATAAAAGTGTTAATCGTAACTAGAGTATATATACATTTATCAGTTTTTGAGTTTAATTCCTCTACGAAAAAATAGAATTCTGACATCTTTTTTGTATTTACCGCAGGAATTTAATTACGCATATAATGGCGTTTTTCATTGACAAAACTAGTGCGCATTCAGTGCACTTTAAAGCTGCTGTACAATCGACGTAAAGATGTATGGTTAATAAAAATAGAAACGAGTTAAACCGCGAAATCCTCAATATTATATTATTTGATAAAATATACTTTAGGAACTTCATCAATTGAGATATCTTATTTTTATATTTAGAGTTGTGTACAACGACTTTAATGTGCACTGAGTGCGCACAAGTTCTGCCAATGAAAAACGCTATAATATTCTATTAGTCTAAGAAAAGAAAGTAACGAAAAAGTAACGACTCCTTACATTTTGAAGAACGGTAACGATAACTATTTATTTTTTAGGAAAAAGAACGGTAACAGTAACGAGTTATTTTTATGAGGTAACGTTGCCAACCCTAATTAAACTTTACTGCAATAAATCTGATACAAACTATCAAGTATCTATATATTACGCTTACACTCTGTTAAATCTGTCAAATTTAACTTGAGTCGCCACTGCTCCTACTAAATATCGGAGCAGTATGGCGACTTTAATCCTTATAAAACGTTATTTCATATTAAAATGATCATTAAATTTGACACTATATCGTGTCAACTTGACACTATTTAGTATCAAATTGACACTGTATAGTGTCAAATATAATCAAATCAATTTAGCAAGAAACTGGTAGTTTTAAACAAGCTTTTGTCAGGAATTTCCTTTCAAAGAATATTCACCACTCTCTGTAGTTCCTAAAATAGTTTATCGATTTCTTAAATATTTTGTTGAGAAGAATATAGTCAATTCAGAATCGATCGATTGGAGGAGTGAACTGTGTCTGTACCTGCCCTCTACAAGGGAAGTTTGTAAGCTATAACTACTATCGATATACTTGATACTACACGCATGGATACTATCCTGCATTTTCCCAAGGACCTTACAAAAATTATCACTTGTTGGTTTACAAAAATATCGGCTATTGATACAATAGTAATTATATATAGATGTTGTACCTGTTATTTGAAATTTATATTCAAAGGTAACTTTACATTTTTAATCACCATACAATATGTAAGAGAGAAAAAGTACTTGCTTATTATTATCTATTAGATTACTCTGTGTATATAAACTTAAAAGCTTTTTTTATTCATTATTGATTTATTATAATATTAAATAATTCAAAAATTTATCCATGCATTTGATTTCTTACTTACCTACAATTTCTATGAAGACATTCTCTATACAGATTTATCATACCTTCTTTTATCTACTATTAATAATTCTCTGTTAATAATTCTCTAATATAATAACATAAAATAAAATACTTTTATAAATATAAGTATCAATTGATATAGTTAAATAATAAAACTTTAATTCTTATAAAACGTTAAACGCAATTAATTTCAAAGAAATTTTTATGTAAAGTAAAAAATAATCAAACTATTTAATAATATATCACAAAACAATATAGCATTGAATAATCTAATGAGAAATAACTTATTGAATTTATATCGAATTGATTTTGATACGTCGATTTCGGCGTTGATTCAACATCAATTCTAATGAATTATTTCTCATTAGGAAAATCTTATTCTCAGTTCTTAAAATTAAAGTCTATTCCTATTTCTTGAAATTAAAGACTTCAAATTGATCAGATATATCATAAATGAGTGATGTGGTGAATAGGAACGGGGGGCCTGCATAACATCTTTTTATTGAAATACAGTCTTCTTTCATTCAGTCTATAATTTAACAAATTTTGCTCCGTCGTAAATCAGAAGTTTCGATGAAAAGAATGGAATGACCTACAACACAAACGTAACAATTCGCACAAAGAATTATCACGATTGTCTAACATTTATTGCCCAAGTACACGATAAGTTATACATTATATTTACACGGGAGGGAAGAGTTATTGTGACCACCAATGCAAAAACTAATATAACTTACAGCTTAGCGTATATACATGTCCCTGAGGCTTATTCTACATTATCGTACACACACTATTATTATACAATACCAATAGCTCTATGCATTGAACAAACGCGGCGTCATATAGTATAATTTATATATAATATATATATATATATATATACCGGTATCACACGTCTACGTATATGTACATAGCACATTTGGGGTCATCACAAACATACGCACCGCGAAATTGATGGGTTCATTTGGAAAGCCGAACTTGCAATTTATAATCGATTGACGAAACAAATTGATAACAAATTCGTTAGGAAATGAAATGAAAGCTCAACTGATGAATCGGTAGTATTGCTTTGACGACTGAAAATATTGCACATTCGATATTTTGTGCAAGAGCGATGTTAAATTATAATATACAGCAATTTACAGATTTATTTTTTCGCTCAACACACACTGAAAAAAATTAAACGTCTCATATAAAAAAAATTAAAATATATAGATGTTCAGAAATTATATAAAAATTGCGAATTTTAGCTTTAACTTTTTTTCAAATTTAACATTTCCATATTTTATATATATACTAATTTCATGTACAAATATATTAATTATTTGAAATAATGTTACATAAATTGTCAAAGTAACAACATAACAACATTTATACGAACATTAAACATAAAATCTTTGTCATTAGTAAAATTAATCTATAATTTTCTAATTTTTTAATGGTTTATAATTTATAGTTCAGAAAGCACTACGTTAAGATATAACACTGTTCATTAATGTATGTACTTTGTATAATAATCATCATTTATCTAAAACACTAATCACTAAATTATAGTGTACGGATGAAGAACTGATGATTTCTATAGATAAATGTTACTTATATGTACAATAAGCCTGTTATACATTACTATATTTGTATGATCTCGAGATATTTGAATAAAAAATAGTTTATTGATCGTTCCGTTGAATAACGGAAATTTTCATAAAATTATTGTCATCCTGTAACATAAACAATAATTACATTAAATCAGCATTTTTATGTGCGAAACTATAATACATAAAAAGTACTCTACATGAATTAAAAACAAATTCTAAGAAATAAAAGCGCGATCAGTAAGCAAAACTGTACTTTTTATCGTAAAGTAATGTTTTATATATGGCTTTATAAATTTATGTGTTGCTATTAACAATATCTGTATTTAAATTTGTAACAGATTAACTAAAAAATTATTGACGTAATTATCGTTTTTCTCTTCGATGTCACAATAATTAATACGCCATCAATAAAGGATATTCGATCGGATCTGATCGGATCCCTTACAAGGTGATATAGGCAGGTTTTATAAAGTATTATTACATTATCCGTACCCTTGACTACAATAAAGAACACATCCACTATCAATTTGAATAAAATGGAAAATGAAACACCTCTCTTTACAGCTATTGTATAGAGAGAGATCATTGGAATAGCCACTTATAATGTAATACGGTAGATCCGTTTTACAATTCTCCCTGTTTAAAAATTATTGCGACATATTTAAGCGAAATAAATTTCTTCTCGATGGAAATATTTCCTGTGAGGCACATTACTTTGTTTCAGCGATATAATTTATGTGTCCGAGAAACAAACAAAAGGCTGAGTAAATCAGTGAATTGTAATTCTATATTGTAAACATAATTCATAAAGTAATGATAATTTAATATATTGGCATTATTATGAAGTATTTAATATTTAAATTATCCATTTATATTCATTTTATATTAATTTCTTAATAAATAAATTTCAATCTATTATTTCAGATTTCTTATTATCCTTGCTACATATGTACAAGAGGATTTATTTATTCTTATTTTCTATATAAGACATAACTAAATTTAGCACTCTCTAACACATTTACATTTTCTATTATAATAAAAAAAGATACTGAAATTAAATTCCATATATACAAATACTTTGAAATCAGACGAAAAAGATAACTGCAAATTCTAAAAAATAATAGACAACTTTTTACATTTAAAATTATTTGAAATTATCAGCTACGCATAACACAATCACTCTCATTCTTTGTGTCCTTGTACGTTTAGACATTATTAGCAAATTGCAAGCTATGCACGCTTAATATTTTTAAATGCAAAAGTAACGATGACATATATTCACATCAACATCATTAGTTATATGAAGGGATTACTGCAGCAGTAGGTTAACCTACATTTTGCGAAAAATAAATATATTTTTCCAATCACTTTAATTTTAATTATTTATTTTCCTTGTTTTTACAAAATGTGAGTTAACTCACTATTGCAGTAAACACCCTTCATGTGTGTTTGTAAAACAAATAATACAGCATTAAATTTTTAACAAAAAAATCAAAGTGAACATTTTTAAATATAACATTAAATATAAAAATAGAAAATATGCTTGCACGAAGTAAAATTTTTTGAGTGAGCGCTGAAATATAATTTTTATGTCAATATTTGTTTTGGTAACTAATTAGAAAATGAGATTGCAAATAATATGTCCCCCTTTTTACTGGATCTACAGACTTTCTTCTTTAAGTGATGGCGAGGTCAACAGAGTTACCGCTTGAAATGGAAACGGTAAAAGCCAGCTACTCTGGCACCTTCAGCGCAAAGGGGTTAATAGATTGGTGGTTTTCTATGTCTTTAGGGAAGGAAAATCTATTAGTACACGTTCGGCTTGCAATGTGTTAATTACGCTTCTCACGAAGTACCCTGGTCACTCTGGCCTAATCAGCCAGGTATTCCGGACTCCATGTAAAAACGATTCTTCGCTCTATGCTTCGCTCTACGTTTCGCTTTATGCAAATTACATGTACAACAGGAAGAGATCTTTTACGGAGAGCAGCGATCCTACGCAGCATCATTCATATCGACATTCTTTCGTTGTGACATTCTCCACGATACCTAGTCTCGTATCTGGAGAACGCTTTCTACATTGCATTAATCTTCGCGTAACAGTTTCTACACAACGGTGGCCTACGTGGATAAACCACCGGCCAATATCACAGTCATGGTGGTTATCCCAAAATTCATAAATAAATGACGATGAAACGACGATGAGGCCGTCGCCGATTGAAAATCGATCTGCTCGTCACCAATATCGTCGCCCTTTAACATCGGCTCGTCTTTCATACCGATAGCTTTCTTCTCATGATTGTGATCGATCTTCCATGTTTTCTTCGATTCACGCCTCGAGCCTGGTTTGCGCGTTGTTGGCGGCTTATCGATCTCTGAAAATGGCGACACAATAAATTTGGTGATTAGAGTTAATGTTACCAAGTAACGTATGAAGTGTGCTTTCGATAAAAAGTGAAATAGCTTGAAGCGTGCTTTTAGTATTGCTAGTACGGACCTTTTTGCTATTTAAGAGACTAATATGTATCTTGCTATTTTCTTCCATATAGATTCTGCAGAGAGTTACTTTTCGTCTTATTTATTTTTTGAACAAGTTAGTTTTTATCTTTAGCGATCCTTTCTCATAATATGATAGTTTTTAACTAAACATTAAAATTTACTGTGTGAACATAATATCGTTAATTAATTTACTCTTAATTCCAGAAATTATTTGTTTCAAATAATATAATCGGAAAACTATTATTATCTAAAAGCAAATTTAAATAACAAATTCTTTAATTGGAGCAAATGGAATTAAATATGTGTGAATTTAAATATGTGCAATCCATTACGACAAAATAAAAACATCGCGACAAAATAAAAACAATTTCAAAGTTAATTATACAAGCTAAAAGCTTGCATTTATGTATTAGTTTAAGCCATGCTCATCTCTCGTCATGTTTACTTGCATTGGTTTTTATCAATCGGCTTCAATATAAAATTATTTGCAACAGATATCGAGATAAACACATACAGGCTTTCTATATATTAAATAGAAATATTTATAGGATGGTAACATTATAGGTGATCATGAATTTTCACAATTACGGTATCGATAAAAGTCAACGATAACGAAATAAAAAGTACATTAGTTAATTGAAGGATCAATGACGAACGTTGGCGCTTAAAAATCGGTGTGATCGTTTGAATAGAGATTGAACGTCCGTCGCAGTATGCAACACAGTAGAAAGCCGCTTTACGTCGAATAGCGTTTGAAGCGAACGGGCGTAAATGGCGAATCGAGATATCGGTAAAGCCTGTCCGCGAGTAATAACCGGAAAAATAATCGGCCAGGCGGTCGGACTTTCCGCGCGATGCTCCCCGGTTTGACGTATTGGAATGTCGTCCATACGGTGTTCCCGCAAACCCGGAGAGCTCTTGTCACTTGCACACTCCGTCGAAATGTCGAGAGTTCGGAAGCTATATTAATTCTCTCGTGCGTGCATCGACATTTCCGCACGAGACGAAAGTAGACTTTTTCTAATTAATCCGCAGGATGACAACGTGCAAGCCACACAATATACTGAGGTGACAATCGCTAACAGTTGAGACTACAAAACAAAGGTGAATATCGATGGATTGCGACAAGAACGTTGCAAATATAAGCGTAAAGACAATTGTACTTTTCCTTCATTTTTGACGTAGTGGACATATCTAGATTCATGTAAGCTGGTTGAAAGGTTACGAAAAAAAAAAGGATTTAAAAACTTATACACTGAAAAAAATACTGATTTAAATACTAAATTTTAATAAATGTTTGTCTGAATAGTTCTAAGTAAATATTTACTAAATATAAACACATATTTATTTAATACAAATCATTAATTTGATTAAATATTTATTCACTGTAAATAAATGTTTACTTAATATCTATTAAAAAATGTCTTTTTAGTATAAATTTCTTTAAGTATATACATTTATCAAATGTATTTCTGCTAATGTAATATTTTCAAATATGTTTTAATCATATAATTTTTGTGAGAGAAGAGAAGTATATTTATATAATGAATTTTTTTAAGTGTACTTACATACTTCCCTATGTTTTATCCTTTAAAGACTCTTTTGCATATTTCAGTATGAAAGTTACCTTCGTGAACAGATGTGAGCCAAACATTGTTGAAATAGTAATCAACTTTCGTTCGATGTGCAGAAGCTTATGCAACGTTGATTTCAATTCGCGAGCGACAATTGTGTTTGTACTTCTGCAAGGTCAATGCGTTTATATTTACTCGTAGTAGTTGTTTGCAAATCTCGGAAAGCGTACGGTGCACAGTGTATTCGGAAGTGCAGATGCAGAATGTGTGTTCTCGGCGATCCTGACAGTTCAACAGTGCAACAATTTAATAAATACATTAATTAATACGCTCGGACACTACGTTCCGGTTGAATATCGGAATTGTGGTCGGACCTGCGTTACCGCGCCGTTACCGAAAAGCCGTTGAAACAGCCGTTCGTCTCGAATGCTTTAAATTACGAATTTACATTTATTACCATGCCGTTATATCATCGCCTTTGATGCTCGCTGTGTCTGCGGTAATGAATATTGCGACTGTGGTTTAAGATGCTCAGAGCTCTTCCACTTTACTGCAATTAGCCAGTAACGTGTTCCACCGTAAGATCCGTAATTCTGTTCACTTCACTACTGGTGATGCCTGCCATTTTGTGATAACGCGCTTTATAGCGCCTGATGGTGAACAATGATCAACCGTAGGGCTAAAATAATTCAACTTGTCTTCTTTCCATTTATCTTTTCATCTGTCTTTCGCAAAGAATTACGAATAAAGCGAAGAATGGATATACCTTTAGAAGTTTCATTCGCACCGTCAGTTTCAAAAAGGTAAAAGCGATGGAAGGACGCAATTGGTTTACTTTTAGAACTTTATATATACTATACAATCATAGAAATTAAGAAAAACCTAATAATTCTACGCACGGCATGCGTATTGTGTCTGTATATTCAGATAATTTATCAAATATACAATTTAACGCAACTATAATTTCAGCATTGTAATATACCAAGTACATAGATAATAACAAAATAGTAATTACATTACTAATTGCTAATAACTTCTAGAAGTTACTTTACCGTATAATAGTAGCGGATATTTCGAAATCAGATTTGCTAGGCCAATTGCGACTTAATTCTTTCTCAAAGAACATCCGCTTCTACCGGCAAGCGAAGCAAAAGTGAACTAACGACCATGGCTACCAAGGCACGTTTATCGGTCACATCTATACGCGCGCGCGCGCACGCTCCCTCATCCGGCGATATAATGCAATTTGAATATAGGCCATCATGCACAGACTTTGCATGCCATGCGTGCACGTCATTGTACAGACTCGGAACGAGCGACGCGGTGGCGCAAAGTTCCTTAGTCTTCAGTCTTAGCTGCTCTTAAAGCATCCCCTTCGCGACTTGTTCTCTTTTCGCACTACGTCCGTCGATAATTCGTCCTTTCTTACCCTCCCTGCCCACCAATCCCCCTTTAGTCAAGCTCAAGTAAGATTCCCATCGAAGTTAACCGACTTTAACGGAACATGTAATCCACAGACCAGCGCACCCCCTCCTTGCAGTAATTATTGCTAATATTGTTAAACGTGTCGCGCTGCCGGAAAAAGCTCTCGATAATAGCGACAGAGAGGCATGCTAGTCAACTGACGTTTCAACGGAACGCAAGCCCGTTGAATTAAATTGCTGGGCTAATTATTGGAGAAGTGATTCGCGAGAATGGAAATTCGTGATGGTCTGTAGGCGTGCGGGCGTATCCCCGGGCTTTCCCGTCGTCGCTTCGACCGCAGCATTTTATTTGCAATTGTCGGTAATTAAGTGCCTCACTATGGCCTCTTCTCCCCCTCCCCCTTTCCGTTATCCAATCATCATGAACGGTGATTTTTGTTAAAGCCATCGTTTCCTTCCTCTCCCTTCGAACGCATCGCTTCCGTCCGATCTCGCCACCGTCGACACTCTAATTGGAGAGACGACCAATTAACATCAGCGAGATCGAACGGAACAGACGGGTCGTGCTTTACGCATTTGGCGTGCTTGCCACTTGAACCTCATGCATGAGATCCAATGAAATATAATGACGGCGAGCGGAATGGACGCGTGACGTAGTGACGCGAAGATGAGATGACATGACGTGTGACGCGACGCAATGCGATGCGACGCGATACTACGACTCGGTCTCTTAGTCCTTATGGTTGATTTGCAGCGACGATGCCTCCTAATACGCCTCCTTATTGGGGTTTATTTTCTCTTTGCTCTTCTTATATTTTTTCTCGTGAAAAAAATGGCAAAGTTAGTAATGTTGTTACCTAACGAGCAGTAACATCTTTCACGTCCTGCAAGATCGCTACTCTTTTACCCTATCAACGCGACGAGGGTAAGTGGTAGTACAAGGGTAAACAGGTACGGAGGTTGTCTAGCTTCCAAAGTTCATATGCATGGAACGATGATAGAGATCAAGTGATGGCATCGTGGAACGGCGCGGGGAACAAGGGGTATTGGTACACTGAGATTGGGGCAATTACGTCGAGTAGGCAATATCGATCGGCGATAAACCGATAAGTTATCCGTTTAAGAATCGTGCCCGCCTCTGGTTAAATTTTGAGATAGGAGAGATGTTTCGTTGCTGTTGAAATAACTTTGTCGAGATACATGTAAATTTTTTATTCATCTCGCTACGTACGCCATTACGCCATAATGAGTTTTAATCCATACATACGTTTTCATGAAACATGTTTGACTACAAAATCCGTATCGTATTTTCCAGTAATAAGCAAAACTAATTTAAATCCCTTATATAAGATTAATGCGATTAAAAATAATAAAAATAATGTAATAATATTAACGTAAGACTCGAATTTGTGTTATCCATTAAAATGTAATATTTATTATTTTTAACTATTTATATATAAAATATATGGTATGCAAGTAATTAATCCTTTTTTTGTACATGATACGCACGATGCAGGTAAAATGGGAAGTAGAGAAGCAAAAGAGAGTATAGCAACATTTACAAAATAAAATTTAATTATCAGTAAATTATTTGTATCGCGTAATTACGTCAGATAATCACTATGAATATTAAAGCAGACATACAGATAATATACGGAATAATATAATAATATACATATTATGAAAATTAAAAGAAATATTTTTAGTGCATGCAGTTTTTCGTACGTAGCACATGCAAAGTGAACAAAGGAATTAGAAATCGGCTTGAAGTAACAAACGATTAAACGTTTCTTTATGCGAAGATAAGCAAGTAATATACATAGCGCAAAAGTACGTTACGTGCAATTTATGCAAATTAATGAGTTCATAAATGTTACTCACTGTAAAGTTTTATCTTTCCATCGGTCTCTCCAAGGGAGTTCGTCGCCACGCATCGAAAGGTTCCGAAATCCTGTGCCCGTACAGATTTTATCACGAGCTTCATAAGTATTTCATATAATCCTCTAGGAATTGTTTCGACCTTATAATTTTCGTCTGAAAAGCGTTGAAAATATCGGTGTATAGATTAAGTGCGGTAAATACGCATACATCGAAATCGCAAACGCTAATTTCCATAGAGATTTACGTGATCGATCAACGCGTACATATAACATTAAATGTATAGTTTATAAAGAAACACACACTCATTATATCAAATTGTTATATCAAATGCGCGAGCCAACAAAATCAACAATAATTAATAAAATAAAGTTTGTGAAGCGCATGCATACCTAGATGAAAAATAACTCGTTCCTCCTAATCGAAGTCAATGATTCAGAAGGTTGTTAACGGGAAACGCATGACGCACAAAACCAGCTTTTTCGCGTTGATGCAATTGTACTTGTCTCTCGTTAAAAAGCTAATTCGCTTCGCGTGTTTGCCGCGAATGGAGGAGCACTAACTAGACAGGCTTCCATGGCGGCCCGGAATAACAGAAAATTCCGGATCGATGCAGCAGTAAACTTCATATTTACGTTCCAAGCCGCTTAAACATTATGGAATCGCACAAAGTACGCATGAAACAAACCATGTTATTCGTGCAAATGTCGTTTTCATTCTGGCACGTGGAAGACGACGTGAATGTCGATTTTCGTGTTATTAGTTCCAAGCTATATGACACTGTCGATGCGGAAAACAGTTATTTCAGAGGAAAGTTTACCCGCGTTCATATCGGTATATCTTGTGTTATTCGAAGCAATAAAAAAATCATGCACTTCTGTAAGAGTTTGTTCGCTGCATTCTTCGATTGTAAGAGTATACGCGATTTTATAAATATGTATTAAAAAATCTGTGTAATATGATACACGTAAAAGAAATTTTGTTGTAGAAACATTTCGTCGAGATATTTTTGATAATGAAAAAGAACACGTAAAATCTGTGCATCTATGTAATAAAAATCTATAAACTTAATATGTGTCGACTGTACATTTTAATTAATAAATTCGATTTATTATACATTTATAATATTAATAATAAAACAAAACGATTCAAGGAAAAATAAATTACCTAAAATAACACCAAAAATTTCTTCATAATAATAATAATTTTTGGTGTTATTTTAGGTAATTTATTTTTCCTTGAATCGTTTTGTTTTATTATCTGCATTTAATTAATGTCTTCCTTCGATACTTTTATTGTATTATTAAAATATTAGTTTAGTAAAACATAAAATAATATCAGCTAGTAACTTAATATTATTTATGCGTACGTATTATATTTGTACAATGTAAAGAATACAGAGTAACACTGAATTTAAAAATATCGGCTACATGCTAACAAGAATGATCTCTTTATAACTAATTGATAAAAATTTTAATGTTATATATTATATAATATTATCCATCGATTTGTGAGAAACTTTCGTCAAACGTCAATTAAACTACTAACAATCGACTTTGCGATAGTAGATAAAAATTGCCATCTGCATAAAAAGAATTTCGCGTGTTCTTAATTAATTTGCAGAGCATTCATTATAACGCTTTAAGAAAAAATTTTAGCCTGTACGAAGGGTACTGTCACGGATTAACGACCCGACACGAGATGGCACGCACATGTCTTAAGTTTTAATGTAGCTGCCCTTGCCCTTAAACCCTTGCATATCGCAAAGGTGCATGGTAGCAATTAGAGTGAAACGACCACGTTAGCGCGGTGTAATTAAGGCGAATTGCATTACAGCTGCTCGTGCGTGCATCTCCCGACATGCGCAAAAAAAGGAAAAAAAAAGAGAAGAAGAAGGAAAGAACTTATAACAATTATTTCATAAATTGGAATAAAACACGCTTTCGGTTTCATTAAAACTCTTATTTTTTTCTACTTTTGAGACAATAAGTATCATTCATGTATTCTTCAATGATAAATATTATCTTAAGAAGCAAATTTAATGTTTGTATAACTTAAGAAAGAAATAATTAAAACTTATTTTATCTCGCAATAAGTGGAAAAAACTTAAGAATGGAATTATTAGTGTCACTGTCTTAATATCTATAATAAAAATATTAATATTATTTTGCATACTTGTGCAAATTCTATTCAATTCACTCTGACTGAATTAATTTTTATTTTTGCTTAATAAGAGAATAATTTAAATATAGAAAATATAGAAAATAATTTAAAATATTTACTTTTCATAAAGTTGCCTTAATTTAATTATTCTTTTTCTGTGCACTATTTCTATATTACTGTTAATAAAAGTGAAAAGCATATTATATTTGGACAAACAGAAATATATGCTCACCATTGGCAATAGTTTCGTTCGATGGCTTCGTCCAATATGTGATAGGACTGGGATGAGCTTCGCTACGGCATTCCAACGTAACAGTTTGTCCTTCGTAACCACCCACTAGCTGATTCTCAATCCAAACCATTGGCTGAACTGTGCAAGATGATATATTTCAATAAAATATCCATTAAAACACAAAAATTACATTAATCTCAATCAAAGAAAACATTTTTTATTTTTATTTTATAAAAATTTGCTTTCTCATACTTTATCGAATTTTTTTATTGCCGTGAGATAAGAAATCACACAGTATAGCACTGACTGTATATTACTTTATTGTGTATAGCTTTACAAACAACTATTTTTAATGAACAAAGTTTAACTGACAATATAACGTTAAAATATTTGACATTAAAAACTATATAAAGCTGGGAAAACATAGTATAGAATTTAATGAAATATCCAATTTTACGAACTCATCACAAGGTATAGCATTTGACGTTTGACGTAAAAGTCTTACTAAAACTCCAGCTCCCATTTTTAAAACATGTTCCCTCGAAATAGGGCTCTTTTATTTTTTTAATCAATCCAAAAACGTCACTTGTCCTTTTAGTAAGCGACTCATTACATAGCGTAGCAAAATTACGTAGCCAGCGGCAGGAAAGATTTAACTCCGTTTTCAGGAACAATGGCCCTCGGGATCAGATATTCACCATGCCTACCCCGAGAGGCGTCATTACGCGAGATCGCTCACACCACACGCGAGTACGACAATTTAAAATATATTTTGCGACAAGCGCCCGACGCGCGTATAAGAAAGAATTTCTACTACCAGGACGGGGCAGAACTGCATAAAATATCATTCGTATGCATTTTCACAATTATATATGCGTGAAAAGCAAAGGACGGAAACGGAACAGTTAGAGTTTTGATTGAATTAAAATTTACGAACTGAAATCCTAATAATATTACATTGCGTATGGTATATTATATAACATTCTGAAAAGATTAATTCTGGAAAATTAATTCACGATGATTGTGTGAATAAATTTCGATTAATCCTCGTTTTTCCAGGAAGATTAAATAATTTCATATAATATTTTTTTCCGCCTTGCAAAACGGAGAGAAACGCATTTAATTATATTTCTCTCATCGTAATGGAAAAGCCATTTATGCAATGTATTCACCACGTTTCACGCTGCCGCTTGGCTGGAAGTGTTCCTTAGCGCTGGTCATAAAACGGAATTTAGGATCACGCAGCAAAATTACGTACAATGAACAGTGAGGAGGATCCGTTTGCTGACTGTTGGTGGCACCCCGTTGGACGCTATGCAGAGATACGGTCCCATATGGAGACGCGTGATTCGTGTTATTTCCAACTCCGGACCCACGATACTACCCGCTGTAACAGTTTACATATGTAGATGCGGGCATATAAATTCATATGGACATGGATTACGACGCATTATTATATATGCTTCGTTCAGTGAAACACACCTATGACACGATCTGACCAATTGCACATGTTAATACCGCCCCGTTAATTTTTAAGCATTCCAAATTACGAGCATATTTTTGAAATTACAAATCATAAATTTAATCATCTCGGCTTATGGTTGACATTATCTTTTATAATAAAAGATAATAATTTGAAATGTTTAATATTACGATATAATTTTCAGAATCAAATAATAAACAAAGATATGATAGAAATTATGTATTATTATAATATAAGTATATTAAACTCGTTTTTTTTTAGATTAAAAGAGAGAAGATATATTTTTATTTGAATTTTGAAAAATACATATGTATATAGCGACAAAAAAAACGTGTTTGTTCAAACACGTACATTATCATAAGATTAAAAAAATTTCAGATTATATAAATCGATCATGATCATATCTGCACGTGATTTGTGGAAAAAACAAAACTCTTTTTGCTAGCATTATATCAATAAGATAATACATTTGTTTATTAGGAATAATGAGTATATTGAAGAAAATACCCATTGTGCGACATGATATTTTTTTGTAAAAATTCTTTTCTAAAACCAGAAAGTTTCTTTAAATCTTCAGAAAGATTTTTTAGATTATTTTCGGTTATACATACATTTGATGTTTAAACTTATTGTTATCAGAAATTGTAACCGCAGTATTTAATTAGTAATAAATTTAATCAGTAATAATCAATGCAGTAGTTAATAATAAATGCAGCTTTGTCATATAAAACAATGAAATATACACGTATCCAATTTTAACAAATAACTAATAACATTTAAATAATGCTTCTTCTCATTTTCTTCGTACCTTCTTATGACATATACCGTATATAAGTACATTGCATGTAACGTATAGTGTGACCAACTAAGCGTATGCACGATAATTAAGCGGTAAGCAAGTAGCAACATGAAGTATACTTAAACTTATGTTCTGAATTTTGCAGAATATTGAAAATACGCAAATTATAATACAAATAATACAAATATGTATCCTTCTATGCATGAAAAGCAATTAAAAGATTTCGCAATATAACAATGAAAAAATGGGACGTTGATTCACTAAATGACATAATTTCGTTAGACTGCACATTGTATTAAATGGAACGTAACATAAATATTAATATGCAAAAGTGGACAAAGTAGCACTCATTACGTCAGCTGTAATTTCATATGTTGTAAATTAATATTTGCTCTCTGATATTTTCCAATAATTTCTGTTTCACATGTTGCAATACGGTCGACTAGCTTAATATTGCGAAACAATTGATTTCAAGTTTAATTAAAATGTGTATTTCCTTAATTTCGATATTATATAATTAATCGTGCTAATCGATTTGTACATTGAAATTACAATTAGTTCCGCGTCGCGAGTGTGTAATGAAGTTAAATTGACAATCTAGCACATTCATTTCGAGATTGATTATCATATAATTTACATAGTTCCTTTACAGATCAACGGCCTACCGATGTGTAGGTATACACATATCGTATTATTATCAGAATGATAGTTTCATAATTTACACAATATGAGAATTTACAACTTATTAAATAATATATTAATATATTTAAATAATACATACATACGTACATACATACATACATAATAACGTCTTATTTTAATAAAATCATCATAAAACTTATGAAAGTAGAAGTATACAAATATATGTACGTAATAAGAAAATTTTAATGTTAAATATAGTAATTAAAATTTTTCTTTGAAAAGCTCAAGTAATCTAATCAGCTTCCAATCACAATAGTATTACGTATTATATTTAATTATTAAGATATCTATAAAATATTTATAAACTGCTAAATATGTAAAATATAATTATCGTTTTTTAACGATTTTATAAAAACTATAACAACAATTTTATTGTCAATTATCACATTTACTTGAGAGTAAAATTCCATTTGTGTTCGATTTGCTTTTATCATTATTTTATTTATTGTTAGACAGCACTTTGTCAATAGCATTTAAATATGTATCGCGAAATTTGTGTGTAACAACATCTGCATATTTTGACAACAGTTTGAAAAGCGCTTTCATTCATGTACCTGTTGAGGTTTTCGAGGTAAATTCGTACTTCAAACTTTTATCATGTGCAAAAAGCAAAATCTCTTAGTATGAATTATCATACAAATAAGAAAACGTCGAACACTTTCCTCGACTATTATGGGAAGTCAAACGGAGTGCGCGGATTTCGATTACGAAAATCGTAAGACCGATAGCGCGTTGCCGAATACTCCATTCTACGGTACTTATCGTCTAATGGAATCACGACTGAATCTTTCCGCAAGACCGATGTAAGACGAAGAGACGAATAGAGGGACAGCGAGACGCGACAAATTAAAGTGGTTTCTTAAAATCGGCTTCGAAAAAATTGAAATTTCGTCTGGTGAATAAATCATCAGAAAGAAGTCGGTCACAAATCGATATTTCACTACAGGGAGACGTCTTCTCGTTTCTGACCCTTGGCACGATTTCACACGAAAGGATGAAAATATATTACGTGTGTGTTGCACGTCGGTTTGTTGGTCTTTGAGAAGTACTCCGAACTCAGTATGGACTGAGACGAATAGAAAAGGAAGGGGATGGCAGAAGAAGAGAAGAACTTTTGAAGCCGTATAAGAGAAAGAGACTAAAACGGTACTTCAGCTATCTGTCGGATGTACAATCGAAATGTCTCCAACACTTGCTTGCGCAATTAGTCAGCAAAAGGTCTAAACAATCTTGATGCGGGTGGCGCGTAAAACAGGAATGAGGTTATCATTAATCTTTTGCCTCAATCTTACAAAAATTGAAATAACCAATTGTGAAATCTGTTTGAATGTATTACCAAGCCTCGTAAAAAATTATTTAAAATATATAAATAATTAAAATATAAATATTTAAAAAATGCATCTAAATATACTGGTATATTCTTATAATTATAGAAATAAAATCTATTTATAAAAATTAAATTTTTATAATAATAGTTTCTTCAAAGATTACTTACAGAACGGTTTTTGCTAAAGTATTAAAAAATTTAATTGGATAGAGATCCGGAAATATAATTCTGTTAAACCATCAAAATAATGTAGAACACAACCTGGTTACCAGAATATCAAAACTTTTTACAGCGTTGCTCATTATACTTGAGTGTCCGATATAATTATTTTGATAGTCCAACAAAGTTTTTTTTCAGATCTGTATCTAGTTAAATTTTTAGATACTTCAGTAAAATTCTTCTTTCTGTGTAATAATCAAACTATATCTTCGTTGAAGAATTGTCATGTATTAATGGAAAGTTCTCGTTAAAATATTCTATCGAATTTGTATAACATTCCTTTTACAATAATTAAGAAATTAAATTACATGTTGATTACTAGTTCCTGCTAGATTTTACTCAAGACGGCATAACGACAGAAATTCGTTCGGAATTGTAAACAAAATTAATTTCTCACCGAATGGGTTAAGTAAATGAGTTTATATTATAAATGCTCAGCAATTTCATTTCGATGGACATTACGCCGACGGCACTTTGCTGATAATAACATCAGGAAAGAAACCATTTTGTGTAACGAATCGTTAAATTCTTTCGTCAATTGCAAAAGACTGTAGCAGGCGGAAAGATACTAAGGGAGAGACAAAGTAGAAATTACTGTTGAAAGTACTGTATCATCAATGCAATAAGGAAATAAATTGAAAATCAAAAGTTTTGTAAAAATAAAAATATATAATAAGCAAATGGACTAGTAGTACAGAATAAAATTATATTAGAGAATAAAATATATTTCTTTTACATTCTTTATGATATATAAAAGTTCATTATCGTCTATTTTGTTTAAATTTTTCTATTCATTTCTCTTTTATCTTGTTTAAAAAAATAAGAAAAATTTGTTTTGTAATTGAATCGAATGTATGCATTTGACAATATATTAGGTAGTCAAGAAAGAAATTTGCTTTGTTTTTATTTTATTTAAGATCTAGCCGATTATCAGACATGTTCAATGTACAATGAATTCAACAAAAGGCACATCCGTATCGGTTCAATGCCGTCCATCAAAACTCATTCAATGATACGATCCGAGAGCACAATAAACGTCTCGTTCAATCAGCGCGAAACGAGACGGCGAGCTTTCTGTCACTCTGTTTTGGAGTGAGATCGAGAAAAAGCCTCGGAGCTGTTCTATGAGCAGCGGGTTATGTTCAATATACGCGAAACAACGCGAGACAACGATGCTGATGGGGTTGAAAGGAGACGCGGAGATTGAGAGGAACGAGACTCTATCTAGAGTAACAACCGTCATTCGTTGTACGATGGAATACGCGACAATCGGCGACCAACGAAGCGGTGCACCGTATGGTAATAGTAGTAGTACTAACAATAGTAGTAGTAGTGGTAGCAATATGCAGGTACGTACCCTGCCAGTTCGACAAGCTGATCGTGCCACCCGCTTCACGACGCCACGTGACCGTCGGCTCCGGTGTTCCTGTTGCCGCGCATCGTAGCGTCACGTTGCTACCTTCTCGCACCACCATATCCGTGCTGGTGGGATAGTCCAGGATGTCCGGCGGCACTGAAACAATAACCACATTGCGACGAGAACGTCCCAGAGGTTACGTGGGTGCGAGCACGCGCGGGACTGTACGGGATGATCATTCGCGCGGACCAGATAGATGGTTATCTCGCGACGAGCGGATCATGCACCTCCGCCGCCCGTCGTGCAATATCCCGCGTGCATACACCGCACACGCGGGAGCACGCGCGGCACCGACGCATCCTGGGGTTCGCGCCCCATTTGTTCGCGCGGATGGCGGATTCGCTCGTAAAATCTCGATTCGCTCAGTCGATCTCGCGTTCGTTCGAATTTTTGCCGAGTCCCGGACCACGTCCGACCAGGGCTCACCCTTCGCTTCCGCCCTTCCGTAGGGAAATACCTTTTTGTTTCATTGAAAAAGCGACTTCTTTCTGTTTTCTTTTTTTTTCACCGAGGTGATCTTTTGCGCGTGACTTTTAACGGTTCGTAAAATCCACGTTACTTTTGTCCGAGCTTTTGTCGCAGCCGAAAGCTCGACGGGGGTGTAGTACAATGACGCGTAGTATTAGGGTGAATCTGGTTTTTACGGCACGTACGTGCCGTCGGGCACGAGAGCACAAGCTGTTGGATAAAATTTGGATAAGGCTTACTTATCAAGCAGATATGTAAAATTGTCATGAGCTAGATTACCATACGAAATAACTGTATATAACTATTATAATTTGTACGGCTGTGCACGCTTTAAAGCACGAAATTACAATTTTTTTCATTTATGCATACATAGGTCTTTAATATATTTACATAAATATCTGCAAAATGTATATGTTGTTTTTACAAATTTTACGGAATGTAAAGAAGTTACAATTTATTAGTTCTATAAATTATTGCACGCGAATAATATAAACAGGATCTGAACTAACTAAGAGAGCAATATAAGTGGATTACTCAAAAGGAACTACATAAGCAACTAATATATCATGCAAAGTAATTCATCACGTCGCTTTATCTGAGTTTAGTAAATGACAGCTGGATTCGATATGGCGAATTGTTTTGTACTTAGACGATATATTAGATAGTTTAGAGTTACCGTCTATTCTGAAATTCCTCTAATCTGAATAAATAAATCAACTGAAGCATCAAAATCAATGCTAATCCAGGTATTTTAGATTGAGCTCTCTTGTCTCATTTGCATCATCTTTTATATGCTAATCTGTCTCGTTTTTAACAATTTAAATTTGTTATTCGGCCATTTTACACAAAAGTGTTCTTCAAAAAGATATGATGACATAAAACGTAGAAAAAATGCATGTATTTGAAAATTAAAGCAGCTGACTACAATCGTTAAAATTTCTCTCTTGCTTTAACAAACGCAACAAAATATTTCAGAGAAAAACCACTCAGCATGATAGGAACAAAAATTTGTAGAAATCTCATCCCTCTTGCGGTTTTGTATTTGTAAAACGATTGAACGTTATTTATCCATTTGTTTTGAAATCCATTCATCAAATGAGTTTAAATGTAGAAGAATCGTATTATCGTATTCAGAATGTGCTTTAATAAAGAGAGTTTCATGAAAGGATGTAAATTCAATTATATCTTAATCTGCTGTGGCGATTACCGTATTAGTTAGTAACGCAAAAGCTGTATTTTCGGACTACGGACTACGGATTACCATATTAGTTACTAACGCAAAAGCTATATACTCGGACATTTAAATAATTAATTGAATTTTTGATAATTTAAGTATAGCTTCTCTCGTCCTCTTTCTCTTTCTCTGTTTAAAAAAAAACGTTAGTGAAGAAATATAATTGTTATAATTATATATTTAAAAACAGGAGGTTATTATAAATCTGTTTTATCTCCTTATGATTTAATTTTTACTTTATAAATCATATAAATATGAAATCTACAATCAAGTAATGATTATTATCTTATGTCTTGCATATAAATTATACATTATCTTCGGTCTTTAAATTCACTTCACGTAAAAAGTAATTAATAATATCAGTTTTACTCAATTTTTAAAAAAAATTTATTTTAACTTAACGCGAGATATTCCTTTCTCGATGTATTTAGGATGACATATTTGACTGTCTGTAATATATCTAATAAGATATGTTAATGATAAAACATTATTTTTATAAATGCGGAAATAGAGTACTTGACACTTTTTGTTATATGATTATATGATAATAATTATATGAATAATAAAAAATTTCAAAAATGCTAAGAATCTTTTTGAGTTCTTCTTTACTTACATGGAAAGAACGACTTCGAAGTATTTAAAAATTTAGCTAGACACATCTGAAAATAATTTTATTTGGACCATCAAAATAATCATGTAGAACGTTCAAACTGGTTTCTAGAATGTATTTTTATGAACCAACTAAATTATTTTCAGATCTCCGTATCTCTACCTAACTTTTTAGATACTTCAAGAAGAAACCGTTCTTTCCGTATAAATATATGTTTTACATTGAAATTCAGATGAATTAATAGCTTGCAAAATTTTTACACTAGCATCGGTATAACACGAAGATTATTCGCGTGTATATGGAAGCAATCTTTTCAAAACAATTTAGGATATAAAATAAGTTTATTATAAAATATCGTCGGCTCTTCACACACACACGATGATCGACCAACGTACTCTTTGCGAAAATAATCTTCACCGCGAATGTAAAGGCCATTGACGTGATACATTTTTCGTGGCAACAATGCGAAGAATTTCGTTATCGAGTTGCTTTCGAAACGGAATAGAGCCGAATATGGCTGGTGCACATGCAGTTTGTACACCGGAAAGACGGCTAGTCGGGAATGGTTTCCCACGGCTTACGCGGACTAAGTTCTTTCCCGGTCACGAAAGAGGCTACCTTCGTGAATAGTCCTCTCTCAGAGACCGACGTCGCGTCCCCCTGGTGAGTTACGAAAGACGTGTTCGGAAGGCAAAGAGGTTCCAAGACGAAGTTTCCGCGGATGTGAAAAAGCTACCAGCGCGAATGGTGCTTTCGTGTGCTAACGAGACGACGAGGGTGGATCTAGAGCTGCGATTGCATAACAGCGTAAATCCGAGAGGCACATTAGGAATACAAAGCTTCTCTTTACGATAATCGATAAATAATTTCTTTTTATTGCCGATAAATAAATATAATTAACGATAATTATACTATAATGATTACTTTTTTTTATAATAAATCTGAATAATTTTCCATCGTTTTCAATATACATATATTTCGATAAACATTTTTTATAATTCATCATCAAATAAATCGGTCAAATTTATTTTATATTTTAAAATATTCAATAAACATTTCAAAGTATAAAAAAATCGACAATACGCAAAACTACAGTTAAAGCAGCATCTGCAGTAACAAAGTATTTCTGCAATAAATGTTTGTGAGGTCCAACAAAGAGAAAGTCAGAATGATGTTCTCTGACGACACAGCAGGACCACGGCAGAACAGTCAAATACCGAGGGCAACCGTACGGCAACGAATTCTTCCAAAGAATTAAGCGGGCATCGGCCATCGAGCAAAAAGCAATTCCATGCTGGCATCGCTACACCCGCCGCCGTCACAGGTCACAGAGATATCACCGGGTCCGGTGCGCAATTCATTTCGCGCTTTGCCCCGACTGCGTCGGGCGCAAACGGGGCGAAAAAAAGCGCCGTATCCGCAGATAGTATATTTATTGATACGGGAAAACAATTGGGTCGAATTTATTATTTCACGCGTGCTCGTGCACCGACGCGCGCCGTTGTTTTTGTTTGCCCTCACGGGATCGCGTTTTATTCGCGCGGACTGTACACAACCACGTTTCATACCGCCGGTATCTTCGAGTGTCCTTTTGAATGGCCGCTATATTTTGCGACGGTCCGATAACGTTTGAAAAGTTCGATCGGTCGAAAGCGAGCTAGCGTTTAGACCAACGTGACACTAAATTGATGCGTACGCGCCGATCTTCGATGATCGAGTTACGCAAAGGTGCAAGCATAAACTATCAATCCTTTGCCATCTGAGATAATTTCGAGTAATGCGATGTTAAATCTTTTATTTCTATCGCTATTAACACTATATAATAGCACAATCGATATCCTTCCTCAGTTAACGTTTTACATAAAGTTCGAAAAACTTATTTTGTAAATTACATTAATTTATTTAGAAAGATGTAGATATATGTTATAAATAATAAATATCGATTATAGCAACGCGATTAATCTTCTTGATAATTTTATCACATATTTTAAAAATCAATTGTAAAAAAATTTGAAGTTTTTTGATCAATATAAATGAATGCATCAAATTAGGGGAGAAGAAAGAAAAAAAAGTAGATTTTATTATCTTTTAATGACAAAATAAATTGACTTTTTTTCTATGTAACTATAATATGCGTTTAAATCCAATCTCTCTCTCTCTCTCTCTCACTTTGAATTAAATACGTATTAAATAGTTATACATTTGTGTTGCATTCACGAATATTTTACACAATCGCGTATGCTCACGTAGCGATAATGTACAATCAAGTAATTGGTCACATAAATTAGTACATGTAACATCATACTAAGGCAAGTTGACTAAACTAGTAATTTCACTACAATAAACAATAAATTTGGTTGGTTGCAATATAAGCTCAATATTTTATATATTATATGAATATTCTATATACACTGATAAATCAAAGTAAAAGTTATGATGCACATATTAACATCCATAAACCGTTATAAATTTAAAAAAGAATTTATAAAATTAATAATAAGAAAAATATCACTTATATAATGAAGACCCGCACTCCAATTGCAATACGCATTCAGTAATTGAATTCGTGCAAAATAAAAAATAAACCGAATGATAAAATTTCTGCAAGTCAATATTTTGAACCGCGCTACGAATCTATATGCAATATTTGCTATTTCCATATTTCAGCATTTTGCTATTTTTATATTTAAAAAAAAAACTTGGAAATTGAACTCTCTCAACAAGTTTGATTATCCAAAGCTGATTATCGTAAAAGTGTACAAACAAAACGGTACAATGTTACAATTTACATGCTTGTGTAAATTTATATTCCGGCATAAGGAGAATTATGGTTATTACCGTTATAGAGTAGTTACTTTCTCTTACATTAGTATACATTTTTTTAATATTTTACGAGTTTTATTCCCATTTATGATAATTTGTTAAAAAATTAATAAAAATTGTTTACAAAATTACAACAAACTTTTCACTCACATATCGTCTAAAAAATAATATCGCTGTTTCGACGAATAACACATGCGTTCTGCGTATCAAACTTTTTATATTCTGCTTGTTGAAATCAGAAGGGACAAATTCTTATAAAAACGAATATCAGGAAGATGTACAGACAAGATCAAGGTCAAGACAAACAAAAAAAATAGAAAACTAATTTCGAAATACGAATAAATTCGGAAATCAAGTCAGAATATTTACAATTTAAAGTTGCGACATGGATAGTAAAATGTTTAGAATTATTACCAGAATTTTAGGAATGTACAATAAAGAGTAATAAGTACGTACAAATATAATTTCTATACCTACACCTTATTCCTTTCTATTAATAAATGCAAATTAGAGCAAACCATGATTGACGGCTCAATAATACAAGAGAAGGAAATAAACAACTAATTTCTTTGTTTTATTTCACCTTTATTTCATGTTTAATCAAAGCGGTTATTATTAGACAAAAGCCAATAATTCACTATTATATACCAATCATTACAAAGCATGTTTCAAAACTGTATCAAAGGCTTTGCTTTACAAATTAACAAACGAAAGATGCAAAATTAATTAATATATTGATTACGTTCCCTGACACTCATTTATATCATAATAATTTTGCGTTATTTTGCCATTTTCGTTTGTTAATTTGTAACATGCTTTTGAAACATGCTTTTCCTGTTCGAACGATGCAAATTACCGAAGAACACAATGTCCGCATATCATCCGATAAAGAAAGATAAAGCAGAATAGCCGACTCTTTTCTTTTCTCTCTTAGTCTTGGCGATATAGTCGACGATAGGACAGACCGATAAAGAAGAATCTTAACGAGGGGTTGCGGTGAAGTTAAACTATACGCTCATACGGTGGCGGTTTGCGGCGCTGTGAGGAGGCCGACCGGTTATTAGAACGAGGAGTACGAGTTGCCGGGAAGGTGTCTAATAGCCCGCCAAGAGTACAATCGCCCTCGAAGGTTTCGGGGCGCGGGGGTACGTACTTTACATATATTTGCATCCCGCCGCCACAAATCCAGCCGATCGCGAAAGGCCGAGGCTGGTAACGCGGGGAGGCGTCTCTATCTTGGCAAGCCCGAAAGGATTTGCTGAGGTGTGAAATCTTTAATCTGTTCAGCTGCTTTCTCGTCCGACAAAACGTTATTTCAGATTTCACTGCAAAATTCAACGCAACGTTGTTTTAAATTGACTATCGTAGAAAAACATCAAGCACACGCGCGTATGTGTATGAAGAGTCAACCAAGATAGACCGCAATCGATATAGTACATTTATACTACTACAAAATAATATAAATATTTTAATACTGTCCACACAGGCGCAATTGAATTTTTTATATTAAAAATTTTTTTATAAAACGTTTATTTAAAAAAATTTTTTTATATATATAAAACTTGTATTTAATCGTGATTTTGTTTTATACTTATTAATGTATAAAAATATTAAACTTGTGCTTGCGTGTACAAAGAGATGTCCCAGATAAACTGTGATCGATATTAAAATTGATTTTAAGTAACGTCTATTAAATTAATTTCTTAATTCAAGAACTTTTATTACATCGTCCTATTAATTTTTATCACGGAAGTTTTCTTTACGTAGACGAATTAAAGTTTTTCTTCAAAATGGATATTTAGCTGTACATCCGTTCATGAATGTTCGCTCGTCTTACTTAACTTCTAGTTAACGTGAGCTTTGCCATGTATCAATGGGATACTATCTGCGAGCTTGTTAAGAGATATAAATCAGTAAGCTTAGCTGAGGTATTTATGGAGATGCATTAGCTTTCCGCAAGAGTATAGAATGCCAGCATTTATTTGGTAATTTCCGGCAGTCTGATATTCATCTCTCGAATACTATTGCGCCGAAGCGCGATAGAGCCGATCAATGATCTCTAGAAATCAAGAATTGTGTCAGACCTTCGTCAAGCTAACCGATAATTAATAGCAGGGTAGATCCTTTCATTAATTTGAGAAATAAGAGATAAGCTGGTTGTATCCAATCTATTAAAAATAACAAGTCAACTGTCAAGCGTATATATAACAAAAAAATTTTAGAACGTTTAAAAAGAGAAACTGTTTTATAAAAATAATTTTAATGTATACTTACTTATAAATAAAACAATAATAATTTTACTATTTTGTTAACAAACATTACTTACGTAACAATTATTTAATGTTATGTAATATTTGGTTAGTCAATATTATAAATCAATATTTTATTAAAAAGTATTTTATCACAAAAAAGGAAATGCTATGATTATTCTAAGTTAAAACAAAAGTAAAAAGTTGCTACAAGAATAATGTAACGAAATTCATAATAATATGTTTTTCTATAAAAAATGGGTTAATTAAAATAGAGATAAGCCTGCGAACACACCACGTTATTATGTTGTACATATGTTTCCTGGGAAGCCGCGAAACAAATAATCAAGGATTGAATATCGGTGTCTTGTAGTAGCAATCACGGCTTTCTCTAGAGGTACTACGATGTCCGCTAAGACGACCGTAGTTGGCGAAGTTTGACAAGTTGGCGGTAACAGGGACGGTGGTACCAAGTGCCAAGAAAGTTCCGAGGAAGGATCAGTTGATGCATAGTCACGGGAAGAAGGATGCGCCCTGCCAGCAAAGGACGTGTTCCGCGGGACAATCGCGAGTTACGTATACATGGAAAATGCTGAATCCGCCTGTGCTTAGTCGAGTTTCGCAAGGACTAGTCAAGGATCCCGGACTTTCTGGATAGCGCGGGTTACAAATTCACGAGCAATCTCGAACGTACGATTTGCTCGCAAATATTTGTCGGCAGCGGTCTTTAAATCATTCCGAGATTCTCATTCCCCACTCAATTTTCCGCCTTTTAGACGTTATGAAAACTGAAAATTGCATGCAATAAATTTAATGCCAGTTTTAAATTATGTGTGCGTAATATATGGTAGTTTTATTTTGATTCTAAGCAGTATATACACATACCAGTTAACGATTATTTAAAAAAAAACTTACACATGTTTATACTATTATTAAATAATCAAAAATGTATAAATTAACGTTGATTATGCAAATGTAAACGTATTTATCCAAATAAATATAGTTTAAAACTATGCATTTCTATAATGACATGAAAATAATTGTCATTATATAGAATTAAAAAAAATAAGTACATGTAAATATATAAAAGTAATGAATTTGGGATTGCATTTTCCTTAAGTACCATTCTGTTGGTGTCTTTTACAATCATTTTAAAGTTAATAATCAAAATTACAAAATATAAAAATTTCATCAAATATGAATAAAAGAAACACAAAAATAAAAATAGTAATGAAATAAAATACGCAACGAGTATTTGAGTGATTTTTTTTATTAATCAAAATAATGCGTTTGAATAATTATAAATAAGTGATAGAAATTTTAGCAATAAATTTCATACAAGGTAAAATGAATGGACCGCGCAAAGTTCATACATTCAAAGCGTCGCATCTCACTGAGATTGCACGAGTTACATTTGCCAGATGTGTCAGGTGTGACGCGTTAATCTATATTGAGTGTAGAGTGGAAATTATTTGTAATTTTTCAAACAGACCATAATGAAGCTACACATGGTATTATATTCATTCAGTGTATGTGACACACGATATTCTGGGCGACGAATACGAAAATGTTCTGCTCGACAAAACTTGCAATAATTATGATTTGTCATTTGTTTAATAGGACAATAAAATATTTGGATTTAACAACGTAAATAAAAATTAATGTTACGTAATTTAATTTAATTTATATAATTTTTACATACGCAGCAGATTTATATGTCTGCTCTGTTAATGTAGTATTTATCAATATACTGTATGCATGTTTTAGAAAATCTCTCTCGTTTTTCTTGCTGTCTCTTTTTTCTTCTAACATCTTACTAATGGCTTTAATTTAATATTGTGTTAAATATTATTGAATAAATAATATTTTCTTATATTAGTATTTAATAATCTTTAATTAATAATTTTTTAATGTAATTTTAATATAATTTTTAAATATAATTTTATTGTTATCACAATGTATAAAATTGTTTATATCGCGGTAGATTAGTTCACTCTATAATTTCATTTTGCGTTCTCTCCTTATTTCTTTCGCAAGTGCAATACATTATTATCATTATATTTCGTAAGATATTAAATGATTTTATAAAATATTATATTAATTGTACAATAAAAACTATTTTTTAATTAATTATTGATTTTAACTGACTTTAGAGAAATTATTGTATTTATCGGCAAATAAAAAGTAAAAATTATTTCGATGTATGGTAATATTTTATATCACAAATATTTATGGTACGTATATAGTATTTCAATTCAGTATATTTAAATATATTTAATATATTAATATATTAATATATTAATATATTAAATACATTTAATGAGAATTTAGTTATTGCTTTCTCTTAAATTATATATGTAAATTTTATATGACATTGATTATTCTTTTGTTTATAATTATCCTTCTGTTGATTCATTGATAAAAATAATTATTTTTCAATGGTAAACATAATATAGCAAAGAGGCAATTTTTAAAGGAGAAGTAGAAGATCTGAATCTTTACCAACGACTTCGAGAAATCCAGTGATGCTGGACATCGGGTCAGTATTAACCTGGCACATGTACCAACCGCTGTCGGTCTTGCGCGTTTCTCTTATGTGAAGAGACCACGCACGATGGCCACTATGTGTCACAGCGATCCTATGATTCTTCGTAATAACGTGAGTCGCTATCGTCAGAATCGTCTGCGTATCGACTCGTAGCCACGCTACCTGTAACATAAAATCAATGATGATAGATCAATTGAATAATCTATTCAAATAAAACATTGCATACAGCTTTATACGCGTTACGCTAGTCTAAATGCCTGGTTTATATATCGAGTTTTTAGACAGTAGCATGAAAAGAATTTCAATTTAATTATAATAAATGCTAAAAATGCGACGTAATGGGAGATATGTATTAAATAAAATAGATAAATTAATTCATATTGACAGACAAATTGTTGTAAAACAAGGAAAATATCGAAAAAAATACAAAAGTAGGAACGTTATTATACAATAATAGAATTTTTATTTTAATTGGCTTCTATCAGCAGTCGGCGATGCGTACATCAACATTTTAAAAATCGTTTTTAAACATCTAGAAATATTGTTATTCCGGGATTATTTCTTTCACATTTTGAATATAACAGTTTTATTACGATCGTTATTTCAAATTGCGCTTTATTAATTCTTATCTAGAGTAATTAAGAAAATGTCATTTAAAATTTAACGAAGCGATTTCTTCAATTAAAAATAAAAATGATCATGTTTGCTAAGCGTTTTTGAGATATGCATTTCGAGAATATATGGATGGAATTAAATTTTCGAGATGCACATTCCATATCCAGCTTCCCCACAGCACTATCATATTCAGAGTGATAACAGCTAGTAGGTACTTTGTACCACTTTAGCCTGTTGCAGGCCGTTAGCAGAGTTAATAATGTACCATATCATGTTGCAAAACGGATTTACATTACAAGTTTCGTTCGATAAGAAATTAAAAAAAAAAGAAAGCATTTAGAAAAAAAATTTCAATTAATTCCGATAACCTAAATAAGTAATTAGCAATTGCGAAAAACATATTTTTCTTAAAATTTTTACCAAGTAATAATTTTGAAAAGGCAATACATAAACTTTATTTACTATCATTAACTGTTTTTTTTTCTAAAAAATAAGAATTTATTTATTATATGATAGATACATTATATCGATAAAGAAAAATAAAAAACAAATATTAATTATTAAGAACTTTTATTTTTCCGAAGCAAATTGTAAATACAATTTTTTAATATTGCAATACTGATTTTAATCTTGATATAACAAAGAAATATGTTCTTATAACTTAAGTTATATACCATGATTTTGCATTTAATTTTATCTTTACACATGTCTACATTATATATTATTTTATAAACATACAACACGAATTTCAATATTAACAAACAATAATAAAAAAGTGCCAAGCATTTTAAGTAGAATTACAGCTATATTATCCGAATTGGGATTTCATAATTGAAACAATGTGTTAAATTCCTCGCCAAAACGTTCAAGATGTTAAAGCTATAAGTATCAAAATATAAAGCTATCATACACTGAGACGGCAAATCAACGGGAATAATAATGTGTACGACCTAGTTACCGCTTCATATGTCGTGTACCATTTCCTACAAAAGCACACACAATCCTTTTATCTGATCCAATATTCGCGAAATACAGCAAATGCACTATGAAACATGTCTATCACTTTGTAGATTGCATCACGACCTAGCCAGGATCTCTCACTAAAAAAGTAAATAGTATTCTTACTCTTTGTACTTATTCTTCGTAAAAAAAAAAGATAAATCTTTCTAGGACAATGTCTCACGCGGTTTTACTTATGGATGTCCGTTGCGAGTCTTCCGTTTTCCGTGAGCCATATCCCTTCTTCCCTGTTCTCGACCATCGTCTTTCCCATCCTCGTTGCGGAAGCTGTCAACGCGTCTCATCGCCCGAGTGCTACCGACAATGTACTCGAAGCTTTATACCAACTACGCTCGTAACATAAAGAAAATGGGGATAGAGAGAGAGAGAGAGAGAGAGAGAGAGAGAGAGAGAGAGAGAAAGGGAGAAGGACAAGAAGAGAAAAAGAGAAGCGGTGTGTGTGTGTGTGTGTGTGGTGTGTGTGTGTGAGAGAGAGAGAGAGAGAGAGAGTCCGAAAGAAAAAAAACGGAAAAAGGAATTCATTGTTACGCCAAATACTCCGCGTCGTTTTAGAACACGCAACGTACATCCGCTTCTTTTCCGCAACCACGCGGCCCGTAGGCAATGTGTCGCATACTCCGGCGCGTGACGCGTGTGTGCCGTATGTGCTGGACAGGCATTGCTCCAATCACGAGGAACAGCGAAACGGGTAAAAGGGAGAACGTTTTTCAGAGAACGAAAGCGAGGGCGAGGACGAGGACGAAAGCGGAAAAGCGGTGGTTACGTCCGTCGAGAAAGAAACCCGGAAAAGAAGGTGACGGGGTGCACCAGAGCGAGCGGTGAAGAAAGCGGCGGTGAAGCGCGGACGGCGAAGGGAGAGGAGGGCAGAGAGGTGTAAATTGTGTGCTCAAGACGGGGGTGCGAGAGCTCTCGAGGTTGATAAAAGAGACGTGTGCACCGTGACCGTGCGCGCGTCTATATGCATATATATATATACTCACTCCATTTTCTTTTTCCTTCTCTCTCCGGTGGTATCGGTGCATATACACCTATTACGTACGCATGATGAGCTCTATGAACGCACGTAATGGAAGCGCATCCTCCCGCCCGGGAGCCGCCGTCGGCTGCAATTACTCAAGCTCGTGTACGACCGAAATGCAACCGCCGCGAACGTGCCGTGGTGCAGCGCGGAGCGGAACGGCACGTTTCGCTTTTACAAACGATCCGTTTCGCGGTAACGATATAATTGCGCTTGTCGCAATGTAATCTCGCCTGGTGCGTCTCGAGCGCGTCTCTGAATAAACGCCACGGAATTCTCTTCTTCCTTCTATTCTCCTTTATCTCGCATCCACAACCACCAACAGCGGAACGCTTCCGTATCCACTTCCTTTTTCTTTTCGTTTCGGCCACTGTGTTGTGTTTCCTGCCTTGGACGTGCCATGACCAACCAGTTTGCCAGTTGAAAGCGGCGAGAGGAAATCAGAACTCGGCGGCAACTCTTTATTTTCGTTTACGTCAGTCGGTTGCACGAGACGATACCTGTGTATACCTACCCTTTCTTATTCGGACTCTTTCCTTAGCACCCTAGCCTTTCCATTCCTCTCGGCAACCACCCGTTGCACCGTTCCTCTCTCGCCTCATCTCTTTTAGTTGCGGTAAGTACGGAAGGTATATCCGCGGGTAGTTCTTTAATTTCGCGAAATATCTTCCCGAGAGGTACGGTCGTGCTTTCGCGACTCGAACTTGCGCGGTGAAAAATGACTCGGGTAAGTTTGCCTCGAGGGTGTACCATGTCCTGGCCCTCGGACGATCGCTCATTCTTTCTCCTTCGATTTCTCTTCCGTTCGCCCGCGCTCGCGCAATCGTCGCCGGATGTAAGTGACGATGGAGAACGCCGTGCGATGAATACGCCGAGCCGATGAATAAGCGACGGTAAATGCCGAGATCTCGATATATGTTCCAATAACCTTTAGAGTGTGAATATTTTTTACACGACATCCTTACAATTTTGAAGCATTCTGTATTGGATTAACAAGATTTATCGGTTCTCTTAATTATTGTCAAGTATCGCTTCTAGTGATGGCGCTAGTTGACGTAATTCTATTTATTTAACAAATTGGATGACACAGAATCGTGTTCGCGTTACCACGAGTGCTTTTAAATAATTAGATTACACATGTATACACACGTATTCATATGCACTAATACCCTGCGGCAAAGCTAGTACATATCTCAAAAATGTTTCGCTCGTTTTAAGCGGACATTATTTAAAATTACGTTTTCCAAATATACAAGTTAATTTTACTTACTAGCACTGTTATTGCGATTAGAGTTTGTAAAACATTTAAAAGGAGTACAAATGTGGCAAAAAGAGGCAACATAAACATGTAACTCGTAATGTTACACACACATATATCTGCAATACACAGTGAGAAATTAAAACTACATTACGAGTTATATACGAGCACCTCTTATATACGACACATCGCTTGAATATCGTTATATCTTTAGATGTGCGCAACGTCGTACGTGGTATGAATAAGAAATAGTATTTTTTTCCGCCAACGCTATGTGTACTGTGCCTACATAGCGGCGTAATTACTCTTAGCTGGCGACCGATGGCTTACGAAGAAAAACGAAAAGACAGTGATTCGTATTTACCTGTCTGTGCAGCTCGAAGGTGCTCAAATATTTTAACAAGATACGAGCGCGGCCAAGCGATTTTCCGATATAATAACTTATCCAAGAGAGGGAACTGCATTCGACGCGCTGCTTCGACTACGACCTCGAAGGTATCGCGTGAAATTTTCAACGTAGCTTAATAGCCGAGCATTGTGCTTTATCTAATTTAACGATGTTAATCAGTTAAAGATAATATCTACCTTATCTGATACAGCAATTAAAATTTAAAGAAAATTGCTAAATCAGTGTTTTATTATCATTTAAATAAAAAACTTTGTTACACATTATTTGCACCTTCAAAATATTTTGTTGATTAGTAATCGGAAAGTGTCAGAAGAGAAATAATTTGATAATGAATTTATATTCTATAATCAACGAATTCAAATAAAATTTTTGCATTTGAATGTAAATCATGGATGTTACTCGTGCGCTGCAAAACAAATTTCAATCATTTACGGATAATGTAATTACAGCATTTTACTTTTTTCAATGTGAAATAAATAAAATAAATAAATGAAAAATTTCAGTTGCTTCCTTTTTGAAGCAAGTGATATATACTATTGTGTACATAGCATGAGAGGGAGATTTACTGTTTGTCATATCACGACGTACGACAATGTATGTCATGTTGCTAATTCGTAAAACAAAGCGTCATTGAACGAAAATCGGCCAGCTTGCGTGGAGGCGTGTTTGCGTTTATTAAAGGCAAATATATTAAACGTAACCCAGCAACAAAACAAGTATTGGTTATTCAAGTTTTCTAGCAGCATGCCGAAAAACGTTGAATATTCTGTGTATAAATATTGGAAAATTCTAAGCGTGGCAGCGGTTACCAGTGAACGGCCATGATATGGTAATAATCACGC